GTCGATTTCAGCTGCTAGCTTTGGTTACATCCATCGGTCTCAGCAACTCATTGGTTGTCCCGTCCCAGCTCGCATCATCTGGTTCCTGCTAGCTCTACATCTTTCAGCTTCAGCTGCCCTTCTGTCTGCTCCAGCCGCCAGCTTCAGCTGCTAAATTGTCAGCTTCGTCTGTCCGCAGCGTGATGGAAAATATTCTTTAAAAGGGTGGTAATTATTGATCATTCAGGTATAATATATAATAATTTTGTTTTGACCAAATTTCTGTCCCTATGATTTTTATAGGTATATAAATTGATTTTTGATTTATTTTTTTTGACCAAATGCTTATGTAAGCGAAACATAGTACTATGCGGTAGCCCCTGCGAATAGCTGATTTTTTTACTACTTGTTTGATTATTTATACTAGACATCACCTAGAGACTTGGTAACATCAGAATATGCATTTTTTAATTACGTGATTTCCTATATTGATCATATTCCCATCCATCAAATGATCATCGATTGATCACATTTTTTTGTCAGTAAAATATTATATAATGAGTTTTAAATTGATAATATCCACATCTATCACAAGATCAACGATTGATCACATTTTTGTCTGTAAAACATTATATAATACATATTCATATTGATATTTACATCTATCATAATTATGTGCATCGATTGTTCTCAATAATTTTTTGTCAATAGGATATACCTAAATTTCAGAAATATTTTTACCCATCACGTTGTTGTATATATGTATATAAAATATGTGTCACGTTTATTATGACTTTTATTTATGGTATGATGAACATTCACTAATTTTATAATTCTCAAATATCACTAATATGCAATCAAATATTCTTTATAAAACTTTTTCTATTTGGTTCCTTAACTTTCCAGATAGCTACTTGTGATCCATGGGTCAATAGTTGTGATAATTCAAAAGTTGAGTGGCGCCTAATTTTTTTGATTATTGAGTTATGCAATCTTTTCTATTTAACGAACCCATAGTGCTTCTCTGACCAACAGCTGCCGTTCGCAAGTAACCATTCTTTTTGTTTTGCTTCAAAATATCTTAATTTTGAATATAGTAAGGTTACACTAATGGCGCCCAACGTGGGGTCAAACGTGTCTCCAATAAAAATTACAGTGATATGGCAGCTCAGAGGTTTGTTTATCAAACGTGTCTTCAAATATGGCAACGGCATATTTGACAGCTCAGAGGTTTGTGAGTCAAACGTGTCTCCAATAAAAATTACAGTGATATGGCAGCTCAGAGGTTTGTTTATCAAACGTGTCTTCAAATATGGCAACGGCATATTTGACAGCTCAGAGGTTTGTGAGTCAAACGTGTCTCCAATAAAAATTACAGTGATATGGCAGCTCAGAGGTTTGTTTATCAAACGTGTCTTCAAATATGGCAACGGCATATTTGACAGCTCAGAGGTTTGTAAGTCAAACGTGTCTCCAATAAAAATTACAGTGATATGGCAGCTCAGAGGTTTGTTTATCAAACGTGTCTTCAAATATGGCAACGGCATATTTGACAGCTCAGAGGTTTGTAACTCAAACGTGTCTCCAATAAAAATTACAGTGATATGGCAGCTCAGAGGTTTGTTTATCAAACGTGTCTTCAAATATGGCAACGGCATATTTGACAGCTCAGAGGTTTGTAAGTCAAACGTGTCTCCAATCAACTTTAGCTTCAACTTCACCTTGCTGGTATACTCAATCATGAATCACAACAATTCATTCCACACATGCATATCAACTTAAACATGAAAGATGGAATTCCTTCAGCCAAAAAGCCCAGGTTATCAAAAACCAGAAAGCTCAAACTGAAACCAACCTTCATCAGTCAGTAAGACCAAATTTTCAAAAACCAGAAAGCCCAAACTGATCCTTATCAGTCAGAAAGGCCAAACTGATCCTCATCAGTCAGAAAGCCCAAACTAAAACCAACTTTTTTAATTTTGGTTTTTATTATTATATATACTAAAAAAAAAAGGCTCATAAACTCATAAACAATATGAACGCACCAACTCAATGAAGGATTACAACATTTTTTTCTCATTTAAGATCATTATGCAAAGAACAATCATCATCATGCTACAATAACTATATTTCTAAAGTTGAAAACGGAATTATCTCTGATCCCAAATTATTCTGGAATATATTCGCTCCAAAAATCAGGAGGATGGTATTCCCAATAAGATATTCTTTAATGATGAGGTTGCAACTGATGGCAATTCGATTGCAAATCTTTTGCTAAACATTTCTCTTCAGTATACTCCAGTGACAATACCTCTATAGATCCTAGATCAGACAGTGAATTTGATTCCATCAGCATTAATAAAATATTTATAAATATTTCTGACATTCTAGGAGAACTTCAGAGCATTGATTGGTTTAATGGGGCTGGCCCTGATACTATACAAGCAATCTTCATAAAAAAGGCATTTTTATCGTCCCGTCCACTCTGGATTATTTTCAATAATTCTCTTCAATCAGGTACTTTCCCAGATTTTTGGAAAAACTCTTATGTTGTGCCAATTTACAAGAAGTCAGGAAGAAAAGACTCGGTATTAAATTATCGCCCAATCACAAAGATATCGCTTATACCCAAAAGCATTTGAATCTATTGTAAATGATTTTCTGAAATTCAAATTCGAAAATATCATCAGCTCAACACAACATGTTTTCTGCCAAGAAAGATCTATTACTACAAATCGTTTATTCCATGAGACCTACATTGTCGATGCAGTCAACAAATTCAACACTGATTGTCAATACCAGGCAAAAATCTTAGTTGATAGCGAATAAACATGTTGTAACAACTCATCATCATACCACCCTGTATATTTTCTGCTCTGCCTGTAAAACCCTGTTTTGCTCCGTTTTCGCGGAAACGGCCAGCGAGCGAATAAACAAAAAAAAAATTATTCGTCTAGCCTCAGATCTTGACTTGTCAACAATGCCAACATTGTTCGTATGTTCTACTCACAGAACTCGTTCTACCTACTTGCATTAAAAGTTTTCGTACAACGATCATCTTTTTATCAAGAAAAAAAAAATCAATAGAGTGGTACCATATGTACAAATTTCTTCAAAACAATTTCAGATTCGTTCCATCTATTCGTGTAATTTTGATGAACCTTGAAAATCTTTGACAGTCTCATGTATATTGAAAATCACCAGAAATCTTTCATTTGTTGATGAATCATGCAAATCTCACGGAAATATTGCAATCTTTGAGGATCATTACAAATCTCATCCAAACTTCTTCAAAGCTCACAATATCCAATCTACTGTTCACCTTTTGTTGAAATGAAACACAACTCGGGCACGAATGAATCATGAACAACGAACATTACCTGCATTCTCTAATATCCAGAGATATTCATTCAAAAATTATGTTACATACATCATAACTATCATCACAAACTGAAATTGCAAATTCATCGAACGAAATTCCAAAATATATATCGTGTAATCGCCAATACCAATAATCATCTGATATTTGATCGGAATGTCAACGTTATCAGCGTTTTCGAAACAAACAAGTGGCAAAAAAAAACTGGATTTCAGGATCGAACACGAAATTCTCTGTTACTGGACCTTCGTACTGTTGGTACTTTGGTATTGCTTATTTTAAAGAAGTCATGTACTTACAGTTCAATAAAACATCACATAACGGCATAACGCCGGGAATGTATCACGCATAAATACCTAAATACCTCAACCACAGCTATCTATTTCGCAGTGGAAATCGCCGGAAAAATAATTGCATTTTGTCACTTCACCGGGGCATGAATTCAACCACTTCTGATGTTATATTATGGTGATAATATAATAAACACGAGCACAAATGACATGGACAAGGGTTACACTTGTTCACCACTCGGCTGCCATCAGCCGAATACTATATGAACCAGTCTTTACACACGTCTGTCATAGGCTCTGATCTAAGCACATTCCACTGAGCAGTGGCGCATCTAGTTGCTAGATGCTAACAATGTTCTTATATGATTCTCATTTGTTTTCATTCTAAATCTGAATAGATGTGTGGCATTTCATGAGATTCCGATCGTGCAAACTCGAAAATGAACTCAGTATACACTTGAATTTGTGAATCATGGATACTAAACACGATATAGAGAGCAAGAATGTTCAGTCTCTGTTATTTATCAAAAATGTTTGCCTCAGCAGTTATGAACATTTGATGTATAAAATCTTGGATAGTCTTCCGGAACAATATGAAATGTATATTTCAACAATAAACTCAACTCCATTGATAAAAAATAGATTCAAATATTATATTGTGAATTCAGGAAGAGGGAAAGTTCATTCACTTGTTGTAATCTAATTATCTGTTTTATACTTTATATTGCTCTGTCTCATTTCACTCTGTTCCATGTGTTTTCATTTTAATTTTTTATGTGAATCTCCTTTTTTTCATTTATACAAGATATAGGTATTATCAGTTTCGATTTATTCATGAAACACTGTCTGTTCTTACCAAAATTACCCAATTAAAAAGGCAATAATAAAAAAAAAACATATGAGATAACTTGTTCACGCACAGCCTCCTTTTGGCTTCAGTGGACAATATACTCTGTGTTCAAACTGTTTATTCGGACTTTTCCACATAAAACCCTATGAATTTTTCACTAGTTATAAAATCCTGAATAAACGATATTATTATTACACTGACACGAATACTTGTCAGAACAACAAAACAGATCAAATAATCGAGTTTTACAGTTGGTCTTATGAAATGTCACAAATCTATTCAAATTCAAAATGACACCAAATGAGAATCGTATCAAAGAATATGGGTTTTTTCAAATTATTGTCACGTGTACAATACACACCTGGAGTTTGGTGCGTTCCTCCCGACTCACCCTGAATGTCGAAAATAAGCACGTATCACTATTCGATTTGTGAATGGAATATCTGTATTGATTTTCCTAAAATCTCCTAGTAGATTTCCGATATCTATCTATATATTTCAGAAAGACATGAGAGGTGGATTGGAGGAATTTTCGACTGGAAAACCAAGATGTGGAGATGGGCAATGACAGGAAAACCCATCACCTATAACGGATTTCATAGTGAAGCCATTAATCGAGAAAAATCTGGAGAGTTATCATGGAATAGTATTTTCATGGATCCAAAATGGGATAATCAGTAAGTGTCCATCAACAATCTGTACGATACTCGATTATAGAACAGATGAATGTGAGAATTGGTTCTATCCAATATCTTCAAAGTCAGTAAGATCTTCTAGTAAGGTCCATAATTATTGTGATCAGATACGTTGATATAACTTTGAAAATCCATGTTTATTCCTTAGTTTATTGCTTGAAGTGGTTATGGATAGATATTATTGTGAAATCACACAATATTACTCCATCGCAATCAATTTCTGATTCAGAAAAATCTAAGAAGTCAAAGTCTCGGATACAAATTCTTTGTGGAACATTCATAGTCAAGAATTTCACTTCGAGAGTGATTTCGACAGAAATACAAATAAATGCAAGAAGGATGATATTCAACTGTACGGGTTACGTGGATTATGTATTTCCATACCCCACGCGGAGGTCCTGCGTAGTCAAAATAGAATCAATTATCTCACTCTGTTTTTCCAAAAAAAGACATTCTTTTTTCCACAAGACAGGTATTTCAATAGAAACATCAGCCGTTCTGTTGAGATATCGTCCTCAATACTCAATATAAAAGTTTGAATACTAGATAATAACGATGCCAGTCTGCCACTTGGACTTTCGAGTTCGAGGAGCTACTTGAGGAAATGATGATAAGGTTTGGACGTAACATCATCTCAGTTGATACAGCCACCAAAAAGCGACAAACGTGAGCGTCAACGTGTACAGTTAGGATTCAACAATATCATTATTAAATTAATACAAAAAGCTCTAAGTCATCTCCACATAATAATCATAAAATGGATAACAATTGTAGATTTCGGGAGAAAAACAACTACTTTCCTGGCTAATGCCACGCAGAACATTGAAAATTACATGCTCTCGAAATCTATACATCGACTCGTATAAACGAATACTGTTACAAGTGATTATTTCCTGAATGCCTATTGATTTCGATTTAGCCAGTCCACGCTAGACACCTACAGACCGGTTTCGAGCTCTTTGACTCTCATCAGTGCAGGGAGTCTCCAGCCAGCAGTCCTAAGACCGCCGACTAAGCGTAACCTAGCCAAACAAAAATCAAGTCGGCATCATATTCCCTCAGAGGCGTCCTCCATGGACAATATGAAAGCAACGCCATCTGCGTAGAAAAGAAGGAAAGAAACACTCCAACACTGAAATTTCCACAGGGAGGTGGCTGGTTGCCCGACTGGCGTGATTTCAACTACGAAATAGCCACAATGCTCAAAGTGGAAAGAAATGTTAAATGAATACATTACACTTGTTACTCATTTCATGAACATTATGTGGAAATGACTTTGAGCTTTTTGTAGGAATCTTTGAAAAACCTGGATCTTCTGGATAATCTGAGTCTATCACATAATCAGGATTTTATGTAAGTTCTGGTTTGCCACGATTATCAGAGCATAACTGAATGTTCAGGATGATGTGGATTTTCTAGAAGACAAGAATAATCTGAATTTCCTGGAATGAATGTACCAAATACATTTCCTGGATAGTCTGAATCTCCTTGAATATACCAGTCTCCTATGGGAAGTAATGGAATTCGGTAATGAAATTTTCTCAGAAATTTCCAAGGAAAAACTTACCAGAGTAATCTCTAGAGCAACGTTGACATTTTGTGAAATATACTTAGCTTTAGGTACTGCCCATCGTGTACAGACACTTTCTGTCATAAAACTCGAAAATATCGTAAAAGTAGATGGAGGTATGGAGATTAGAATTCCTCTGATAAGATTAAAACTACTGGACGAAACAAACTCCAACCAGCATTGTATCTTCCATAATTAACTGAAAACCCTCATCTCTGTGTAGCCACGACCTTGGGATATTACGTTATGAAACGTACCGAGAAAATGATAAATTCTACAGATAGACTTTTCGTAACGTACAAAAAACCTTCAGGCTTCTTGTCCGTCCATTAGCAGATGGATAAAGATTGTATTGAAAAAGAGTGTTAGTATCGGGGGTAACGGTTGGATACAACTATATTATTAGCACACAGCACTCGTCACGCATCTACTCAGGGCCTACTCTATCTGCAGTGGATAGAAGGGAAGTCAGTTTAGATATTATAAGAAACACTGCTGGTTGGACAACAAACTCAAACACATTCGCCCTTTTTTATAACAGACCAATATGTAGCGAGCAATCGTTTGAAAATGGTTTGTCGAAGTAGACTTACACTTCAGTTCTTACTCATTAATCTTTGAGCAAAGATACATTACATTTTATTTTACAAGCAGCTTTCATTCTTGTACTTCTTTGCACATTGTACTTGACTCAAGTATATTTTCAACATCAGATATGTGATGTTTCTGTAATAAAATATTGTTCCGGATTTTGACAGAATATTTGGTTCGCAACTATTTTCTTCAAATATCTACATTGTGATATCGAAGGACAAGGCGCGAAATGTTAGTTATGAGATCAAACAAACTTACCTAAGTGAAGTTCGATCTTAATTATATGAAGCGCCACGTCCAAGATAATCTCACCCCCTACCTTTCCCAAAAAAACAATCCTAGATTTCGATGGACCCCTTTAGTTGCGAATAGACTACGAAGAATGAAGTTGGAAGCTAATAGCAGCAAGGACATAGGCATGACAATATTGCGTTTATAGCTTTCAATTTGTGGCGACACCTAGCGGAAAGTAGGGGTACTACATTGTGATCATTTCGGACGAGGCGCTTCATATAATTATGATCGAACTCCACTTAGGTAAGTTCGTTTCATCTCATAATAAGACCACTACAGAATAATAAACTATATCAAATATTACTACTACAGAATTGTATTATACTTTACTATAAGTATCATTTCATTTTGTAGTGGTATTCTTTCATGAATGTATTGACTGGCGCCTATAATATCACTAAACGTATTTGATATTTACCACCGACTATTTCTCTCAGTGCATGTATACAAATATAATTTGTGGTTCTATTCGTCAACTCATGATTCACGAATGTTTTCAACATTTTGTTCTATCCACCTCCCTGCATTTTTCCTGAACTTGATGCACAATAGTCACACTGAAAGAATAATATCACCGAATCCGACTTTCAATCTACCTACTAATTATTATAAACTGATAATTGTCGGATTATTCGAGTGAAAATGATTTGAAGTTTGTATCATTTTCACGGAATATCTCAATGAAAAATTTTCTTCAAAGCTCTGTTAATGTTGAATTCATTCACATGTGTTTACTTTTTCAGTTGGAATGCAGATAAACAGACAGAGAAGAAATGGTTCATCTGCCAAATGAAAGCTCAAGCCGTGAAAAATCTTGGTAGTCCACGAATATCGCAACCCAGAGCCGTTATACATAATCTCGTACCATGAATGTACTCAAACAATTAAAAAATTTTCGATATCAATAAAAATGTTTATTCGTTCATGAAATGAGTCATCGATAAATAGGGTATATGTCTTCTGGTTGTCCCATAGCTTTTGTTTCAATATACTGATATCATATCAACGTTCTGTCAAATTACTCAATCATATCTTGATAGATATATCTCAAGGGCATTATTTCAAGTATCCACAATCAATAAATCGCACGTTGAGAACAATAATGTTATAATTCACGAATCTTCGTATTGAGAAAATCGACTTTGAAAATTTTCACTTTTTAATTCTTCAGTGGTGACCTGCGGTCTCTCAGACCGACCAGAAGAGCTTTTTTGAATTGTGGTGCTATTGCGCGATGCCTCCTTCACTGCTGTAGCTCAACCTTTTTTGGGTATCTACGCACACTATAAACCAGAAAACGCTAGCGTTAGCAGGAAGTTAGTAGTTATGGTTTCGGACAGTCAGACCGACGTCACCAGTGAAGTAACAAATCTGCTACATAGATATCTCTTGTTCCAATTCATTTCATGAGAAATCGAGCGTATTCAATCAGAGGTATATACAGTGTGTCCCAAATTCGATCCTCACCATTGGGATCTCAGTAACTATGAGAGATAGAGAAACGGTTAAATTAGCAAACTTTCAACAAATTTAATGTTGAATCAGAATCTATCGAGAATTCTGGGCTAGCTTCAGTCATTCTTGAGTTATTTGAGAAAAAAAGAAATCTTGAAATTTTGTTCTTCTCGAATACATCTCGGAAACTATTGATTTTGTGAAAAAATTCCTTCATTATTCTCATAGCACTTCTTGGTGCTCTTTTCAATGGATTCGTCAGTTTTCCATCAAGATGTCAATTTCCTGAGATATCACCTACATGATGGCCTAATTATACCTTTTATTAACAAATCTTGTATTTGTTTTTGTACCTTCTGTTTGTGAATGTACGGGTAGCGATATGATTTGGTGAATACGGGTGTTTCGTCAGTGGTCCTAATTACATGTTTGATTTTAGATGTAAAAGTCAGTCTGTCTCCTGGTTTGAAGAATATATCGGAGTATTCTTCACACAGTTTCATAATGAATCTTTTTCCCTCGGTGTTCATGTGATCGGTACGTATAAGGTCTTGTATGTCATTCTTGTCTATGTGTCTGGCTGTCTGTTCGGGTGTTCCGTTGAAAGATTCGAATTTGTAGATTTCGTATTGGTGTGGTTCGAACATATTTGCCGATATGGGCTCATTCAATTTTATAGATATCGGTTGGTCCGTTTTATTCTGGATTTCTATTGGTGCGAAGCCATTTTTCGCTGAGGTCAAGATTCGCGGGATGATGAGATCACCTAGATTGTGTCTTTCTATTATCATATCTCCCTCGTACACGTTGACCGGTAGACATTTTATGACTTTTTCGTTTGGGCCTATGAATAATGAGAAACTGCCGACCATACTTGATTCCCTATACTTGAATGGAACTTCTATGCGTTCACCTACTAATTTTTTGTTACTCAAGTCAATGTTCAAATCCATAGCAACTAAATCGGCTAAACCGATCACTCCGTCGAAATAATCATGAAAATCGAAAAGGATGAAATTCATTTCATGGTTACTACCAAACTCGGGAAATGCTGGAATTGTTGCATTGAACCGGACGTTTTTGCTACCAAGGGTTGTTTTAATGATGGTGTCTGAATGATAAATTCTGTTTGGATATAAGTTTTCGATAATTGACGGCCTGATAATTGATCTAGAGCTACCTGTATCGATGAGTAGTTTGAGTTTTGGTTTCCTAATTTCTATGTAGGGTAGTGCGTTGTTAGATAAAACATTGATTTCGGCTACGTGTGGTGTTCGCTCTGGCATTCTGAGGGAAAATTTAGGTCTTGATCATTTTCAAATTCGACGTTATTTTCTAACTCTTGTTCGTTACTTGTGTTCTCAGAATTATTGTATTGATATGGGAAATCCTCAGAATTGTAATCTGCGTTTTCTGCAGTAGGAAGGTCTATTGTTGGGCCTGGAATATGGTACTCGTTTGAATGCAATTCTTCAAATCTGAAATTTGGTCTCCCGCTAGGCTGAAAATTTCGAACATTTGTTGGGGGATTTCGGTTTCCGAAACTTGGGTACCTTGAATGTTGGAATTGTGTTCCTCTTGAAGCTAGTGTCGGATTACGAGAGATTGTTGACATGGGTTCAGGTTTGGGCAATTGATTTGTGTGTATTTGGTTAGGTCTTAAAACGTTTTTCGGTGGGCCAAAAACTTCGCGATTCGTCGGGAATCTATTTGCCGGTTGTTGTCTGGGTTGAATATTAATTGGTTGGTTGGGCCAAAATGGGGTTTTCGAGAAATTTTGATTATGTTGGTTGAAATTTGTTGAAGAATTTCGATTGGTTGAGTTGGAGTTCGTTGGGAAGTTCGGATAGCGTCGTTGGTGATTGAATTGATTTTCTTGTGGGTTATTTAAGTATGACTGTCGAGGAATAGAAAAGTTCCTAGGGGGTGGGTTTCTTGTCTCATTCAAATTTCCGTGAAGTCTCTCGAAATTTTCGAATTCATTTGCGTAGGCCATGGCATCCTCTAGAGATGCCGGTTGTTTTAAATGCATATTATTTTTCATTGTACCCGTGCATCCAGCGATGAACGTATTTAGCGCTGTTTCATCGTGATGGTGAATGTGACATAATTTTTCGGGTCCGGTTAGAACGGTGTCGTTACTTATGCGTTGGACAACGTTACTTCTCAAAAGCTGTAGCCTGCCACCGAAACTCATGAGATGTTCTCCCTTATAGGGTCTAGTCCTAGTGAGCTCCTGAACGAGGCAATCTAGATCCCTGCGATCAGAGAAACACTGTTTGAGAGCGGTTTTCAGGCTATTCCAATCTCTCAATTCTACTCGGTTTCCTACCATAGCTTCCGCCTTTCCGACAAGTTTTCCTTGAATGCATTCTAGAATATGTTTCTGGAGTTCAGGATCTCCAAAACCTTCATAGTTTGCCAGTAATGTTTCACAGCGTGTAAGAAATTTATTTAGCGTATTGCTGTCGCCGTCAAATGGTTTTATATTTTCTACTCATGATTTAAAAAGGTTCCAATTTATTTGGGCCGGGGCCTGATTTGGTTAAACTAGTGGGGTCATGTTTTCTGTATTAGTTGAATTCCTATTTTCTAGTATTGTTCCATTGATTGAATTATCAGTACTATTTTTATCTTCAAAAGACAAAGAGTTTAGTCCTTCTAAAATATCATCAATGTTGCTCATAAATATTATTTAACGACTTGAATATTCGTCCTACTTTATCTAAACACTACCCTATCTCTCCTAAAGTCCTTAATCAGAGGGTTCAGGAAAGGTGAAAAGGAATTTGGCACTTACGAATTTTCGGCAGGTGAGCCCCTCGTAGTTTCCTGTCTCCTTTTCCGATTCCTTGTCCTTTGTAGTGTGACCTAACCCAACCTAACCTAACCGAGAGGACTCTCTCGGTTGATTCCTCTTGAAGGGATGTTCTTTTGATTCACGCTCAGGGCTAAAGTCCCAAAATCACGAAAACTGAATCTTCGGCACTATGCGAGAGTCTTTTTCGCGACCGCCAGAATCCTACCGACTGCGCCAATTTTAACTTCAACCTCAAAAACTGCCTTTTCAAAAAGCAAAATTACGTTTATTACGGAATTGTACAATCAAAAATTCTCTTCGAAAGATAGACAAGGAATGAATTGTGAATATAAAAACTAAATCAAGCTGGCTCGTAGAAATCTCGTGAGGAGATGGTCTTCTCGGAATAGTCTCATGTTTCTCTTGTTGTCGCGGCATGTTTCTGATAAGGAGCATCATGTAACTCGCTTTATTCGGATATCACTGTTGAAGTGAATCACAGCTGAACTGTACCCATCCAACCAGCTGAATCATCATACATAAATTCCCTATATAATCTAAAGTACGTAGACAGCATAGGCAGGAATAAATCTCAGACACTACAGAAATCAGCATAAAATTTCCTTTCTAGTGATGTATCACAATTACAGTCTCATTCTATTTGGGGTACTGATTTCCAATTTTGTTTCATATGTCCAGTAGGCTATGAATTGTGTAACTGATAAATAATACTCGAAGTCATCTCCACTGCAATTTATTATGTTGTGTTATTAGTAACTGCTTCACTCCACCATGACTTTTACCAGAGATTATGAATTCTGTGTTCTATGTTCTTGCATTACTTTTCGCATGGAATTTGATGTGTACTATTATAGCAGGGAAGAATTAACCGATGAATAATACAAACACCAAAAGGAATCAATTGAACTGCTCGAAATGCCCCTCATTGTTCTCGATACATTTTAATATACGTGAGCGAACATGATTCGTTGCTTTCCTCAGATGAACTCTGTTGATGTACTGGAATGTGTCAATCACTGTATCTCGTAGATCATCAATATCTTGAATTAGCTCTTCATAAATCTCATTTTTGGCGTAGCCCCACAGGTAAAAATCGAGAGGCGTACAATCAGGCGACCTTGGAGGCCGTCTCACAAGTCCATGAGTGGTAATTAATTCAGCACCAAATTGATTTTGGAGATATTCCCTAATCAATCGCGTATTGTGCGGTTAGGCACTCACTATCTTGCTGAAACCACATTAACTCATATTCAGCAAGTGATATCTCGTCTATGAAATTTGAAATATCATTTCTCAATAGCTCTAAATAACGTGGACCATTCAAGTTATGATAGTAGATTATTAGACCTAGTAGACTACTGCTTGAAAAAATTATACAATGAGAAACAGTTATTCATGGAAAAGGTACCAAACATCCCACACCAAACATTGAAACCAAATTTGTTCTGCAACTCTGATTCTCTGATGACATACGTATTATCTTGTGCACAGTAATGATGATTATGTTTATTGTAGATTCCTTTATTATGAAATCTCGTTTCATCGGTCCAGCAGATATTCAATGGAAAGTTCTCGATTCTTTCACACTGGTTGACGAACCAGTGACAAAACTCAAGACGACGTTCATTATCACCGGGTCTTAGCCCTTGTACTTATCATTCAGTAAATGTATGTGAATTGTTGTTTTCGGCACAAAAGTTCTCCGACTAAGCCCTCGAATTGAAATGGTAGGAGTTTGATTGATGATTCCTTCGATATTTGCAATTTCTTCTTCATCCATGCGCAAACCTTACCTTGGCCTAGGTGCAATGGAGCTTCTATGCTCTTGTA